GTGGCCGCCGCCGGCTGCCACTCTCCACCAACACCTTCGACTATGCCACCTACCATAACCTGGATGAGGTGAGAAAGCACAAGAATCGGGGCATTTTGGGAGGGAAAAAAAAATCGCATCCTGGAATTGGTCTTGCAAAGCCCATTGCTCCACGTGCAGCAAGGGTGGGGGCAAGCTGGGAGTAACCCCGCAATCCCTCTCCCCCAGATCTATGCCTTCATGGACCTACTGGTAGATGAAAACCCCAACCTGGTCAGCAAGCTTGAGATCGGCCGGTCGACGGAGAACCGCCCCCTCTACGTGCTCAAGGTGAGGATTTGGGGTTCGTGGCGTGACTAGAGGGAGAACTGCGGCCAAGGACAAAGCCAACCTCCCCTCTCTGCTCTTCTAGTTCAGCAGAGGGGGTATGAACCGCCCGGCTATCTGGATCGACACCGGCATCCACTCTCGTGAATGGGTGACGCAGGCCAGCGGTGTTTGGTTTGCCAAGAAGGTACGGGCACCTCCCGGACACGACTTACATCCCCGAAGGGCCACAAGGTCCTGCAGCCACTGTGGTTGCCAGGTGGCTGATGCCACAGAGAGGACGATGCTCCAGCAGCACCAGGGAGCCCCAAATCACCATCCTCTCTAGATTGTCCTGGATCATGAGAATGATGAAGGTCTGGCCTCCATCCTGAACACGATGGACATCTTCCTGGAGATCGTCACCAACCCAGATGGCTTCGTCTTCACCCAAACCCAGGTATCACCCCGGCGTTCCTCTCCTCGGCTCCTATAGGCATGCTGGACAGGGCTGGGGAGCAGGACTGGGGTGCTGCACATCAAGGCCCCTGAAAGGTCAAAGCCACCTTGTCCACATTTCCACGGGATGGAAGGGGGAACCACCATGACCCGTTAGCCCCCCCATATGTCAGATCCCCCATTGGCTCAAGGCTGGTGGAGCTCCAGGCCTGGACATCAGCTGAGGTGGCTCTGCCCTTCCAGAATCGCATGTGGCGCAAGACCAGGTCCGTCAACGCTGGCTCCACCTGCATCGGCGTGGACCCCAACCGCAACTGGGATGCAGGTTTTGGAGGTCAGAGCTCTCCCATTCACCCTGCAGGGGGGTTCCACCCTCCAGGTGGAGGCTCTGAGGCCATTTCTGGCTCAGAAAGAGCCACTGATGTCCCCTGGAGAAGAGAGGAGATCTGTTCTCCACGGCGGAGACAAGGGTTTGGGCTCCACCAGGGCTTTGATGTCCCCTAGTGACCAGCGCAGTGGGGGCCACAACTGAAAGTCATCATACAAATATCTAGGAGGACCTCCAAGAGCATTCCTTGCTGGCCACCAAGAAGCTGAGGGGTGGGAAAATCTCTTGGGCTTGGAAATGGAAAAGGCCCTTTGCCCTTGTGACTCTGAGCCACCAAACAGCCACACTGTGTTTTTATTGTCCTCTTCTCCACAGGGTCTGGAGCCAGCAAAAACCCCTGCTCGGAGACATACCATGGACCCTATGCCAACTCAGAGCCCGAGGTGAAGGCCATCGTGGACTTTGTGAAGAACCACGGGAACATCAAGGCTTTCATCTCCATCCACAGCTACTCCCAGCTCCTGCTCTACCCCTACGGCTACACCAGCACCCCAGTGCCTGACCAGAAGGAACTGGTAGGGCTGATGCAGAGGTTTGAAGGGGGCCGGGGTGATGCGAGGCTGCTCCCCTCCTCCAAGAAGGAGCAACCTCCATCCTGCACCACGAAGGGGGCATTGACAAGCTGGGAAAAAGCCCTGGCAACTCTGCCACCCCCTGGGGACTGCCCCAGGCCAAGGCTATTGAGTTCTGGCCTCCTTGTTGCCCGTGGCACAAGCAAAAAGCCTCTTCTGCAAGCTGTATCCCGCAAGCTTTTCCCTTCCTTGGCTCATCCTTCTCCCTTCTGTGTATTCCCAGCACCAGGTTTCTAAGGCGGCGGTCGCAGCTCTGTCTTCTCTGTACGGCACTAACTACAAGTACGGCAGCATCATCACCACCATCTGTAAGTAACAGGGGGAAAGCAGCGGTTCCCGCAAAATAAACCCGTATCGTCGCTCACACCTCAGCTTAGAGAAAAGGTCCTGTGAGATACCGGTACGACGCAGAGTAATTAACGTTTTGCATCCCTCCTGTTGTTTCCCCCTTCAGATCAAGCAAGCGGAGGAACCATTGACTGGACGTACAACCAGGGCATTAAGTACTCCTTCACCTTCGAGCTGAGGGACACGGGGCGCTACGGGTTCCTGCTCCCCGCCAAACAGATCGTCCCGACCGCCCAGGAGACGTGGCTGGCGCTGAAGGTCATCATGCAGCACGCGCGGGACCATCTCTACTAACTGGGATCGGCGGCTGAGTGACAGTTTAATTAGCTGGAAGCGGGGAGAATGCAATAAATAAATGTGATGAAGGATGAGAAGTGTCTTTTGATGTTTTCCCTTTTTCCAAATCATGCTGAAAAGCCTTTTCAGACACTGACTCAGTGCTCCTACGAGGGCACACGGCAGCAGCCAACATAAACAGCGCACTTTGGCCCGGCGGTCCGAAAAGGGGATTGAAAGGGCATGAAAACAGCGGGACACAAAAGAAAGGAAGGTGCTTGTTTTCCCTCTGCTCTGGCAGAGAGGGTGGAAGGGGAAGAGCTTCAGTCTGACACTTACTGGGCAAGCGGAGACCTCGGACACCACAGCTGAGCTGGCAGGAGGGGTCCCCACCTTCCTCAGCCCTCCCAGGGGCCGGGATGGCTCTGGGATGCGAGGCAACGGGGTCAGCCCGACTGATTCCGTGTGTTTTTGTGGCCGAACACCAACCTGCAGTGCTGGTAGAAAGGTCCCTCCTCACCCGCTGTGATCCCTAGGGGAAGGGGAACCAAGCCCCTGCCAGCTCCCAGCTTCTGCAGGCGCTGCTCCACGCTCTCTGTTAGCTCTCAAAGCTCAAACTGAAAAAGAAGTACTCAACCATCTGGTGTCATTTACTTTTATTAAATTAAACAATTAAAACTCTCTCCTCCAAACAATACCAACTCAAGAGTCCAAAACCATACAAACCCATCAAGATGATGGGAAAGTACATTCAGTTCTTCCTTTGATGCCCTGGGTTTGGAGGATCTCAAACAGCTCAGGCTAGTTTTGTCCCTCCGTTTCAGAAGGAGGTTTCCACGCAGCAGGGATTTTGGATCTGTCTCCCACAGCTGGGTAGCAAAATACGGACTTTAAGCCAACACAATGACCACTACGCTCATCTCCGCTTTCAAACACGTGCATTTTACACACTTCCAAGTGCTCACAGAGCTGAGAGATCCACACACGCCCCGGTGGGACCCTGCGTCTTTCAAGCACATAATAAATGGCTCTCTCGGCTCTCACCTCTCCTGTGCGCATTCAGCTAAATCAATTGAGTGCTATCATTTTTCAGGCAACCAGCCCAGCCAAGCTACCAACTGAATTATGCAGGAGATGCTGCTTCATTCAATGTTTTTATTTCACGATGACATAAAAATAGAGGTGCTGTACAGGAAGGAGTAGCGGACTCAGGACAGCAAGATCAGACTACGCAGTGGCGTAAGCCACGTTCTACCCCAACGTTCAAAGCTAAATGTGGGTTTTCTGCAATGCTTCAATACCAAACTCTGTTGAAAGTTCTTATTTAGCTTTTATTTATTTTATTAGGCCACCTAAAAGCATCGCCACTCAGTAAGAAAAGCCCCAAGATGTGAGTCAGCTTCCCAAGGCTGTGAGTGAAGAAGAGTGTGGACAAGAACAAGTCCCTGTGGCTCCTGCTTTGGGCTCAGACCATTTAAATAAACACTTTTCTCTCAAGAAGCGATGCTGCTATTCCACAGAAAGCCAACTGGTCTGACCTAGGAGGACAAGCTACTTTGTCCAAAATAAAAAAGCCTATAACTAAACCACCAAGAAGTCTTCTGGAAGTGTGACTGAGTAGGATGGTAAGAAAGCAGAGTAAGTAAATGGTGAGGTGCATTCAGCTTCCTATGGATGGGCTGAAAAAAGACACAACCAGACCCATTAATATTTTCATATATATATTTTTTAATCTTCATACCTGGCCAGCCTGACTCTTATATTACATACACACACACACACACTCCCTATGGAAACCCACGACACACGTGATCCTTAGTGCACAGGTTGGAAGAGCAGTTTGTACAAATTAGAGCTGGTTTGTACAACTTAAAGCATCCAAGGAGTTCTTTGGGAAGCTGGGAGCTTTCAGTTACCTCCCTACAATCAGATTTTATTACAAACAAAAAGAGATGCGTATGTGAACACACAGGGGCATTCAGCTCTTTGAAGTACTTTGTTCAGGACATTTTAAATGCTACCTCTGCACTACGCCCCTCGATTCCTCCCCTTATTCTCCCTCTGGGGGATCCTGACACAGCATCGGAGGTTTGTGCCGATCGTCTCACTCTTCTCTGGGAAGGATTGAGGTTATGGCTCTTCTCAGAATGCAACTGCCAGTCCCTGTATCAGCACTCCTCTGATTTAAGACTCATACAGACACAATAAACATGATAAATGTGCTCAGGGATGTTCAGTCTCAAACTGCCAAACTGGAAATTATGTGCAATTTCTCTCACCTTGCGCCTTCACCAGAATTATCCCCTGATGATCAGCACCACTGGTGAATTTTGGGGTCTGTTGAAGACTACGTGCCTACTTCAAAAAGGGGTGGAAAAAAATGCATTGAAATCCAAAAAGCCACGCACAAAAACCCACAAGACCAAGAAGTCAAAGCTGAGCAATACCGTAGGTAAAGGCTAGAGAGCAGGATCTCTCCGTAACCACCTACGACGTCTCTAGCAAGCAACCGTGCTTTGTCACTGGGTAGATTCAGACGATTTCTAGGTCACCCAGCCAATACTGCTATGGTGGAAGCACAGATTTGATAAAAACTGCGATACTTGTTTTCTATGAAATCTTCATGCCCAGTTCAGTTACCAGATTCATGAGCCCTGCTAGGTTTCAGGGACCCTGGTGAGACAGCAGAAGAAAGCTTCCCTTCAGCCACCCTAACCTGAAAGAAGCTACGCCAAAAACACTGGCAAGGGTGTAACTGGAAATAAATTTCCACCCTCTGGCAGGCACTAGAACTGCAGAGCTCTTTGTTGCTTCACTGAAGAAAACAGTTGGCCTCCAAGTATCACAAAAGCATTTTACAAAGCAAAATGACGTTCTGCCTCCTAACCTCAACTCGCAGCTGCCTGTAAGGGGTTAGGGAAGTCAGCCTTGTCAGCAGAAGAGTGACCGGCTCCTCCACGTACGTCGTAATTTTCTGCAGCTCCAGTGACCAGCAACCTGCCCTGGCAAGTACAAAAAGGAGAAAACCACCGGTGCGCAGTTGAACTAAGGAGACACGCAGCCTGCAAATCAAGAAGAGGGGCACAGCAGATGATTTTGCCCTAAGACATGTCAGCTAAAACCCCACGCAGTACATCTGGCAGCCTTACACTCTCATTTAGAACCAAAACCACCACACAGTAGCTCTCTAACCATGGCAAGGAACAAAGCAGAAAAAGCAGAGTTAGAAGCCAAACCTTCCAGACAATAAGGGAGAAAAGAAGGAAAAACACAGTTCTTTTCTCCTCCAGCTCATCTTTCAAAATACAGAACTGTTTCATGAAGTGTCCATGAGTAAACACGACGGTCAGGTTACAGTGCCACACTGAGTGTTGCTTCCAAAAACATCTTTATTACCAATACTTCTGTTCATTAATATAATTTAAAAAAACAAAACCAAAACCCAAAACACTTACGGAAGCCTCTCTCCAACATTTTGGCAAGTTGCTGAATGTCTGCATCTCTGCTACAAAACACCAAAGTTTTTGCTCACAGATGATTTCTGGCCCCCTTACCTTCAGACGTGTTCTCCTGTTCGCACAGTCTGCGGTTCCAGGCACAGCACACAAGTATTTTACAGACACAAATTCATTCATCTCATCTACAAGCTTTGCACAACCATTTCTACTGGTCCCAGGTTTTACTACCAGTTTCCTCCCTCCCCTACAAAATCAGTTATATCAACTCTGGCCTGACACTGCACCTAAAGGTCAGCCTTGCCAAAGCGATACCGTTCCTGCTTCTGTGAAACATCAACCGTTCCAGCTCCCCGAGCCTTACCCAAGCTGCCATTTATGTACCACCACTGCTTTTCTCTGCAGATTCCTAAAACGACAAATGGGCTGCACTGCTCAGGGTTTCCAGAACCTGGACATTCATTTATTCGGTGGAAGAAGACACTGCTGTTTATTTCCATGGCTTGTTCGGGAGGCTGCTCCTGCTGAGCGAGCGGGCAGTGAGGGATTCCACGTTGCCCGCAGTGCTGGGCAAACTGGGGCTGCTCCTCACAGTTGTCACCTTGGAACTGCGGCCTGAAGAACCACGGCTAAGACGGCCTGTGGGGGGAAAAAAAAAAAAAAAAGAACAAAGATCAGAAGCTGCGTGCTTGACAGAGCACAAGGACACACAAATGATCTGTAGTCCCTTGCTGGCTCTCCAGCTCTCACTGAAAACCTACAGACCCAGGAATAATCCAGTCTCTATCTAGCCTTGCAGGCTTACGAATTTGAAGAACCTACTCATCACCAGTAAAACCTAAAGACATTTCAATATCGTGGGCAGAATGGTCTAAGCCCACCCTCAGCAGACCCAGGGTTTTGTCATCAAGTAGCTGTATAAGATTTAAGTCCTCTGGGATTGGCATAGCACAGGTTTCAGTGGATCTTCTCAATTAGTTTAGAAAAATCTCTCCCTCTCCCAGCAGTCTGATGGAAAGAATATAGCAAAGCAGAGAACTGCCGCAGGGCAGGCTCAAGAGCTACAGAAAGCGGCTACAGCATTTGTCCTGGAGTCTTACTGGCAGTGTCTGAAGGAATGTGCTCCTCTTCTAGGTAGTACTTTATCTTTTGTAGGTCTTCTACAGAAAATCTCCACTTATTCTCAGCACATGTGGGTGGCACTTTGCGAGAGGTCATTTTTCGAGCAGATCCAGGGGGAGCTGCCACCTGGCAGGACACAGGGAGCGAGCCGGTGATCAGTCCTTCTGGGATCTTCTGTGCAAGGACCTTCAGGCCTGCAGACATACAGATCACACGCTGTCAGCGACCGCCAGCTAAGATGGGATCAGTGATTTTATCAGTCTCAAGCAAAACACTCGACGGAGCTGAATATCCAGCTCTTACCAACTTCCAGTTCACGCAACCTTCGCCCTCTGCTCTCGATCTACCCACCTGAGACCTCAGGGAGTCCTGCCCATCCCCACTTACCTCCCGATAACATGAACAAGTTCTCAAAGCCCCGCTCACACATGGTTGTCGCAGCCTGGCTGGCTAACCTCTCATCATTGTCATACAGAAT